TCTGCGTTGTACGAAAACGTCATTTGAAAGTTACGCGACTGTAAACTAAAAAAGGTTCCGTCATGTGAAGTCAAGATATCCTCCGAATGCATTCGTGGCAGATTGTGAAAAGAAAATCTCACTAACAGTTGAAATATGATTTAACAGAATAAAAATGTTATATTTGTTTGATAAACATTTTAATTTCTTTAACAATGAAGGAATGTGTATTTATGCATTGAGTTTCACGAGAGATAATACAATTAAAAGTCAAATTATGGTTAAAGCATATTATACCATTGCGGAATATCTCGACGACGCCAATGTGTGGAGTTGATACTGTTGATACACACGTAGTCTAGAATAAGACTATTATACCTGTATGTTATATTGTCAACTGATACTTTTGAAAAAGTGCAACTGTTTCTTGCCGGTCTCTTCTCAACAGAAACTGCTTTCAGAACCGGTGGTACCTTACGAACCTATATACATAATTTTTGATGTAAAATTTGACGATTCATAAGAGCGCGCAAGCGTCTATTTGAATAAATATATTTTTGATTTTGATTTTGATTTTGAATTCTAAAATTAAAACAATTATTGGCCTTGATTTTGGCTTTACTCTGTGGCTAGATCTGTAACAGCATTGTAGGGCACAGTAACAGTTATAGCAAACACTTAAGCAACGATCAAGCGAATGGTCTCGCCTTTTAGAACGTAACAATTCCATTACTCTCTTTTATAAAAGGAACAAAAGGTAACTAAACGATCAACGTGGGCATCAAGCGCTAGAAATTCTGAGACTTGTATGGTAGGAGAGTAGCGGCAAATGGAGTAAGTAACGCACACCGCACCTACTTATTAGTGTTCTAAAATTACCAATGAATTATACCTTTTGAATGTTTTTTTTAATGTTAAAAGTTGCCAAACGAGCAGACGGCTCACCTGATATTGAGTGAATACCGCCGCCCATGGACATCTGCCACACCCGAGGGTTGCAAATGCGTTGACAACCTTTTGAAAATTGGGCTCCGGCTATCTCACTCACCAGACGAAACGCGAAAGTATTTGTTATACTTCCACTTTACGCTGGTCTTCTGTGAGGTCATGGTACTACCCGGACGGGCCTGCCTATTCGTGCAACAGCCGACGCTGCTGCGTGGCCCTACCACAGTAAATAGAATGAAAGATATAGGCAGTAGAGTATCTGATGAAATCCAATACCTATCATTTATTGGAAAAAAGATTAATTCGTTCAAAATCTTAAAAAATTACTTTGTTTCGTATTGTGCCACTAAACAATGATGTTACATGAGAATATTGATTTAATCCAGACGAAATCGTGCTATAATAGAGTATTTATTTATTTATTTATTTGTTTACCTACATTACTATTAAAGAGAATATATAAAAAATAAGTAAAAAAATCCAACTGTATATAAGTGTAGACAGCGTTCGCTCGGCGGGTAGTCGCAGTATGCGTTATTCGACAAAACAGGAAGTGTTATTTTCGAGGAAACACGCGTAGTATTGGAGGTCGAAATATTACCAGCGCTAGGCAATACCTAATGGAGCAAAGCCTAAAATTGTAGTAGGTTACGTCTAACGTGTATCATACCTTAAGTTACGTAGAGTACTTCGCTGCTATCACGTTCACATCGAGAGTGGGTAATTAATATCGTTTATGTATTAAAGCAGCCTCGCCTTTTTCCTCCTAGCTAATGTCGAATTCAAGTTGGTAAGCTGTTTTTGTGCGATATTAGTAATTGCATGAATATAAGTTACAAGTTGCTCGAATATGAAATGTGTGCACTTATAATTGTGCAATAGGATCCGCTTGTCTACATTTGGTCGGTTTCTGTGAAACTTTTAAACGATTAGGAAAACTGCGGCATCCTTACAAACGGAAATTTAGTAAAATTAAATTTATTGAGGACTATAGCTACATTTTAAAGTTTGGTAAACTTTCTTGAACGAAAACGAATTCTTACTCCGATGATTATGTAACAGAGAGCACGTACATATTTTAAATTTATCATCAAAACAAAGGAGCGTAAATGTAATGTTTTAGCCACCGTGAAATAGATTTACCGTTAAGATTTTTGTGAAAGATCAAGTGTTATGAGACTTAACGTGAAGCGGTAAGATACATTGTGGTGTTACTCTTCCAAATGCACTTTTTGTTCTAGACTTTCTTATGAAATAAAGGAACAAAGTAATTTTGACCCAGGTCAAACATAATGAGTAATTTTGTATGCATATCTTATTCAAGTATGTTTTGCGATGTTCACTGCAATCCATAGCGAATCGTCGCTGACATGGTTCTGTTTCTAACATTGGTTGTTAAATATATTATGCAGATAGTCTGTTTTTCATTTCTGCTACTTGAGAAATCATTTATTATATCACGTGCTCAGCGGTGAAGGAAAACATCGTGAGGAAACTTGCATAATTTTCGAAATAATAACAAAAAAATATATATATTTCGAAGATATGTGAAGTCCGCCAAACCGCAGTGGGGCCGCGTGGTGGACTATGCCCTGATACCCTCTGTATAGAGGAGGCCTTTGCCCAGCAGTGGGACATGTATAGGCTGTTACTTTACTTTACTTTACTTTTAGTGTTACCTATATTACGTAAATACAATAGGAATATGATTTCTGCCTAAACGAGACTGCATATATACGTTTGTTTATACCGAAAAAAAAAAAGAATTTATACACGTTAAATATAGCCAAGGTAACACTACATGAGAAGTTAAATGTGTAGGCATAAAAGGAATTTTATATTTATTCTTTGTCCAAACCAAAAGCTCTCGGGTTTAGGTGACCTTTGAACAACTAGGAATATTATACGTACATTGTACATAATTATATCGTCTTCAGTCATTAATATTAAACGTTTCCCCCAACAAGTTTTTGATTGAAGATTTGATAAAAATGTAGGAAAATTTATGGTGACATATATAGTTGACGGCCTTTATATAGGTCAAAATTTGACATTTTCCATGCAAATGTGCCTCTAATTAGTTGAAAATATATTTTCAAGTAATAAACAAGCTGTCTCTGTATTGATTAAAATTCAATTGGTGTGTTTTTATCATAACTTAATTATTATTTTTCATGAATATTTTTAATTATCGTTTTTATTTGCGGAGTTAATAATAAAATATTGTACGTTAGATAGCAAATTATAGGACCCATGTCACTTGATTAGTGGTGGACTTAATCATTATTTTGATAAACTGACTTGAATATAGCATCGTGAAAACAAATCACAAATCATTATTTTATCGTTCAATATTATTTCGCTAACGGCACACATTTTGATGCGCGAAAACTTTGCTAAGTTACTATACACTGGTCGCTCTTGCATTCACTTTTCTTAACATGAAAGCAAACTTAAGTGACTTTACTTTCACTCGAATTCCAAAAAGCGTAGCAGTCTTGTCCATTATACTTAAAGGAGTAAACTTACTCTGGGGCAAGGGGAAATGAACTGCAAAACACCCACTTGTCCCCCTACGATGTATATAAATATGTATGAGTTATTTATTTATTTATATATTTATTATACACAAAGCACAAGATTCAAAAGAAAATGAAAAAGATAAGGTTGTATACAAAAGGTAAACTTAACTCAATACGTGAGTTCTCTGATATACGATATGAATTATTATACGATGAACTGATGTCTTCTTGATCTATTTGATCGGTTAAAAACCGTGACATTTTATTTCGTCTGTCGGTTGATAATTTTGAATGCATGGGTAATGTGACAACGGAAATTTTTTCTGTTCGTCAAATACCGCATTGGTGAGTGAGGTTGTATAAGCACTAAGATGTATTCAGAGTAAGATTAAACATATATCTATCACCACTTGAAGTAAGTCTGATGGTTTATGTAAAATTAAATTTTTTTCTCATTTAGTCAATGAAAAATTAATGTTTTAAAATGATTTTAAAGATTAAACGTATGACCCATTTCGACTTGTAGAAGTCTAATCATATAATTATGTGAAATATGTAAACAAATCAACTTTAAAAGTTTAAACTTTCATTCTTTTACTTTAAATTATTTATGTTGTAACTACGTGTACTCGATAAGTTTGAAATAAATCGTTATATCGTCTTAAAAATGTGACTTATGTATGTGTAGCTTTTTAATTTTTTCGCATGCCCTTGACAAATGAGAATTGCCAACACTCTTTTAGAGGTGAAGGAGAACGTGTACCTACTTGCTTTGATCTTGTTATTTGTTAATTCCCAAACAAATGATGGAATTTAAAACATTAAAAGGTTGGTGAATTGCCTCTTGCGACAGTGGACCAGCTAATTACGATTCTAACGTAAGAAGAAGCCTAGGACACTTTTCAAGAACCACTCTTCTAACGTATACGAGTCCACAAGTCCACAAATAGTAGTTTTAATTATTAATAATGAATAATAACGACAAGAAAGCGTTTACATATTCTCTATATCATTGTGCTTTAGGAATAAAATAGTTATTTTTAATAGTATGATTAATAATATAATCATGAGGATAAGCTTATGACCAATAGCTTAAATCAATTTCATTACTTACAATTGTTGTGGTGTGAAGAAAGAACTAATTACTTTTACATAGCTACTTCTTATATTTCCCATTTATGATAATAGTGAGATTAGAATTGTATGCTTTGAGCATAATTCTGTTGTCAAAAATTTAAAAAAGCGTAATACGCGTAAGTATTATGGATTAACCGAATTTTCCGAGCACACTATGTGTTAAATCTCTATGTACAATTTGTTAAATTTTATTTTTAATACCATATTACATGCAAATAAATTCTTACTGGATGACAGGAATGACACAAATCAAATTCAAAACTTGTAGATGCTAACAAAAATACTATTTTCTATATTTTGTCATTAAGTCAATGATACATAATTTTTCCATTCAAATTAAGGATCATAGACCGTGGTAAAGACCGAACCACTGGTTCTATTTAAAACATTTCCATGATCTTAACCTATTAATTACTTTCTAATGTATTTCTCTTCGTGATAGGATCGTGCTTCGCGGCAATCAGTAAAGGGCTCAAACATGCTGAAAATGACGACGACGACGATGATGAATTTCTCCCTGGAAACAATCCTCTCTTTCACAACTCTCACTCGTGCTTTTTTTTGCACAAACTCGCTTTGAAACCGTTTAGTTCTAGCTGACGATTCCGCATCTCCAACGAGGCTTGCAGCAAACTCATTTGTGAAATTGTCCTTGTCGTTGTCAAAGGCGCTGTCGCGCACTCCACTCATTGTTCAATTTAAAACACCTCCATTGTTTCGGTTCTGGATCTAATAAGCGTAAAGATTTCATAACGCCGCGCGTTTACCGTTTCACTGTACTATCCGAACCGCACCGATATGGTTATTTCTCGCATTTGACGTCTGCGGGCCATTTCAGGAATATCATGTTGTATATTCTGTTATCATCATTTCACTGTTCATAGATGAGTTTTGATATTTATTAAGAGATCAATAAACTGACACACTGCATGTCAGCGCCGGATTTAGGGGAGGGCAACCGGGGCCACAGCCCCGGGGCGTCCACAAAAGAGCCCCACAATAGAAACTTCGGAAAAAAAATTCAGACTAGTAAACACTACTTAAAAATTTTTAATTTTTGATAATTCTTGTTTGCATAAAAATAATTTGGCGCCAAGGCGCCTCTACTCCTTTGTTGCCCCGAGGCCTCCAGACCTCTAAATCTGGCCTTGCTGCAAGTCACACACAAAATATATCAATATTATTAGTATTATGAACAGATTTTGCGAAATCGAATGTTGATGACCACACAATCATTTTTGACATTTAAAGTGTTATCGCAATCTGAAACTTAACTTTGTTAAAAAAATGTAACCCACACTTTTAAGCTTTTGTTTTTTTTAAATTTATAATTGCTCTATTGTCTTTGTGCATGTAAACATGAGTGCGTTAGTTATTGGCCGTGCTACGGCGGCCAGTATTATTTTCTTTATTGAACAATAGATTTTACCCATGCCAGAATACAGCGCCATCTAACGGAGAAAGCAAAGAAACGTTCTAGTTTCTTAAAAATTATTGAATGAAATATGTACCTTATAAGATTGAAAGTTGGAGAGATTCATTCTACATTCGATTTTTTTTGTTCATGTGCGCGTGTGTTGCACTTGTTTATAAGCTGCAATTCGAACCTAACATCAGATGAAACTAGCTCTTTTTCCAACTTCTATTATAAAATATAACACAAATTTATGATATTATCATGCACTATTATTATTATTCTTATATCTTGTATTTACACGATTACATATAAATGTGCAGTCGCGTAAATTCAGACGTCCACGCGTCAGTCTGTCACGTGACCATGAGCGCTGAAAAGGATTCGAAACCTTGAGAATATGTAAAACAAAAATAAATAAACAAGTAAAAATATATGCGGATAAGTTCATTAAAATATTAAAATAGTTGCATATATATATTAATTATTGTTATCAATAATGCACATAATTAAATAGTTCATTAAAATGGCAACGTTGTTTCAAATAGCAATGAGAGAAAAAGAAAGTAAAAGGAATATAGTATAAAATATATACACATATGCAACCTGTTATAATAAAGTTCATATGATTTATGATTTCTCAATTAATTTAAAACATACATACATTTGAACATGCGTGTGCCTGGTCACGATATCGTATAGATATGACATGGTCACGAATTAGGCCGTAGATTTAATCTTCATTCCTGCATGTTACGTCAACATGTTGTACACGTGTGCAGATACACGTGTGAAGGTTTAAAAATCGTGACTGTAATTTTCAATTCAACAGCGATCTTAACTAGGTCCCAGGTGACAGAGATAACTTCTTTTAGATATCCTGGAGTCACAGCTGTTTAATACTGAGATGATAGCAACTGTCTGATGTAAGGTTATAGTATCATATATATTTTCCATTCTTATATAATCATCGACTTCTAGGTCGCCTGTAAAGATCTATTTTCGTACATAGATCTAAAAGACAAGAAATGCTTGTTACCAGTGACAAATCATGGAACCAATACTTTTATCAAAATTGGTCATATCACCTAGCTCGGTGTTCTGACGAGCTATGGAGAAATTTTACTTGGTGCAGGATGTCATTGGCAACAAAAACAACCATAGAAGCAAATAGCCCAGTGGATTGGTAAGCTGGATTAATGATAGCCAGATTGTATAAGTCGCAGGGCTGATAAAGTAAAGTAACAGCCTATACATGTCCCACTGCTGGGCTAAGGCCTCCTCTATACAGAGGGTATCAGGGCATAGTCCACCACGCGGCCCCACTGCGGATTGGCGGACTACACATATCTTCGAAATACATTTTTTTTATATTATTTCGAAAATATGCAGGTTTCCTCATGATGTTTTGCTTCACCGCGGAGCACGTGACAATTCAGCACGTAAAGTTAAAAACTTCATTGGTGCCGTCACCGGGGATCGAACTCAGGTTGCTCGAGTATATATTGAATTAAAGGCGAGCGCCCGGACACTGAGCTATCACGGCTGATATCAACTTCGTACTGGAAACCTGGATGAAGTGGTTCCACGTCTGCAGGAGCTTGGCTATGACTATGATCATGGTTCGTGACAACCCAATTTGATCATAAAATTTTCTTATTTATTAATAAAAACTTCAGTGAAAGATATATTAATAAAGCTATTTCAGTGAACAGACTTCAAACGTTTCGAATGTTTTTAAGGGATTTAAAATCAAGCTATGTTTTTTCTATAATTGATTTATATGATGAATGATACTCTTTATTATCTTAATCGTAAAAAACTACTAAGTATTAATGTTACAAGCTAATAATAATAATAAAAACAATGCAACTTTTTCGGTGAATCCTCGGGATGGCCATTGAAAAATTATTACAACGCCTTCATTAAAACGAGTAAGCGTACATTCTTTTGATCTTAATTAACATTATTGTGAGCTTCTGTATATGGAAATTTTGTAAATTATTTGTTATCCAATTAATATTCCATTATCTTTTCGTTCTTCGTTTCAGTTTCGATTCGTCCTTCAAAGTAAGATAGCGACTGGGCTATTTTTTTCCAGCAAATGTCCTACGAAAGAAATGACTGGTGGTCATAAATTGCGAACATATTCACCGATTCGTAGCCAAGTGGACTACTCTCACCCGTCGGGCTTGTGTGGTTTTGCACGAGACGTAATTATTATCGTTTACGGTCAACGCTTCGTCTAGTCCGCCCAATTACATAAAAGATTGTCAAGCTGTTAGCCCGCGCTACTTTGATATAATGGCGCAAAACATACGCCTACGTTTGTTATACTTTTATAACGACAAACTTTTCGGACTAAAAAAATTGGGTGTGAAAAAAAAAATGTCTTTCACTTTACTGTCTCCAAGTACTGTTCAATTTGAAGTGAAACAAACATAGTAAACAAGTCATTAAAGAATGTCTTCTAGTGCCAAATTAAATATTGCCGTCCAAAATGTCTCCGTTAATCGTGTTATCTTTTAACGCGATTTTGCTATTGAAACAGAACGCTTAAGCTTTTAACATGCACCATATGCCAACTAGTTGCATTAACGACGTTACTCAATGCGGTCTACTTGCACACACGGATCTCTGAAACTTGTAATTGACCAAGCCGACAGAAACCTTACCTTCTCTTTTAAACCGCTGATTCATAAGTTCTACGTATGTTTAGCTGTTCGGTAAGTTTTTGAACACCGAAATGGAATTTAAAACAGCGTGGACGAGAGTGGAATTTTTGATATTACCTTTATATTATATATTATCACTACATAATATAACACAAAGTCGTCCCGCTGTCTGTCTGTCCCTATGTATGCTTAGATATTTAAAACTACGCAACGGATCCTGATGCGGTTTTTTTTTACTAGATACTCTATTTACTAGATTCAAGAGGAAAGTTTTGTAAAATACATTGCACCCGTGCGAAGCGGGGGCGGGTCGCTAGTCTTTATATATACGAGTATAATTCTTCTGTGCGAGTGTCACTGAACTCTTTTAAAAGTCTGGAGTGGATTCGAGAATGTTTAGATTCACATTTCGGTCCAGTACATTCTTTTTTTATTAAGTTGTTATCGGATTTAAGTCGTGTGTACAGACAACGTCTGTTAGGTCGGTTTGAATATTATAAAAATTGTCATTTTAGAACATCAGGCATAGTACTTACCATTTATTTTTTTTGGTTTTATCTACCAGTACTGATAGTTCAGTGTACGGGCGCTCGGTTTTATTTCAACATTCTCGAGCAATCTGAAACAAGAAACTTCCAATCCGTGTTTTTTTTTCTTTTTTAAATTTGTAAAGGGTTGAAAATCAGTTAAACTATATAATACAATGGCGAATAGTATCTCAAATTGCATTGCGTATTTCAAACATTGAATAAAAGACGTAGATTATTCATTGAATAACAGACGTTAACAAAGGTTGCTATAAAACAGCACCGCGAATGCAGTGCAGTGTGAAAGGCAAGTGTACTTGCTATAGATTTTCTTGGTCGTGTCTTGGAACTTAAATTGGGTACCAGATTAGCATTGGTCTAGGTTTTTTGATTGGATCACAAATTTAGATTGTTTGATGAATTTAATCTCCTTGTAACTTGTGCATTTTTATTAGATCTGTTCAAAACTTTTATAAGCATGCGCAAATCTCTTTTCAACAGAGTTTAGATGTAATAGAACCACACTTCTTGTGTGTTTTTAGTTAATAACTATTAGTATTATTTAGTCACATTTATATAAAAAAATTATTATATCAGTCATTATTATAATTAAAGACCTTTCATTTGCATCATATCTTCGAACACTAACTTAATAACAGAAGAGCTTTTCTCTTCATTAATTTTATTATGCATGTATGCACTGAACGTGCATTGAATATGAAAAAAGCTTTGTTCAGTGGCAATACAGAAACAAATCGATTTGTTTGTTCTCAAATCTTAATCTTAAAATAGGAATTGAATCTTTAGAATGTGTCGGTTAAACATGTTTTGACATTTTTTGTACTTATTTGCTATTATCTTATTGTGGTTGGGCCACGCGACAGTACGCAGTTGAACGAATGGGTGACCCGTCCGAGGAAGTACCACAACCTCACAAAGGAACGGAGTGAAGTGAAAGGGTTATAGCTCTGCGTTTCGTCCAGTGAGTGAGGTAGCCGGGGCCCACTTTATTAAAAGGTGGCAACGTGTTTACTAACCTACGGGTGTTGCAAATATCCACGGGCAGCGGTTATCACGTAACGTCATGTGAACTGCCAGCTAGCTTGACACATACTCACACAAAAAAAAAATATGCATCAAGGCACTTACGGCGGGTGATCAATTTATTCTCGGTATATGAATAAAATATTAAGCAAAGTAAAAATCAATGTAATCTCATGTCACTATAGTACTCTTATTTAAACGGCAAAGTAACTTTTAAATACCCGCTAAAATATATTTCTTCCTTGACTGAAAAATATTCATCAGTTGCCGCCTTCAACTCACTGTCTTAAAGAAAGTAATCACTAGGCGGTAAGTCCAGGCTATAGGGTGGATGATTGATTTCTTTAAATCCGTAATCCCACACAGCGCCCTAACAACGTGCCACGTGAACACCGCGTTGTCCGCGACGTGAAAGACACTGTCTCTGCGGTCAATTTTCCATGTCTTTTTTCTTTTATTATCTCCTTTAAATTACGTAGAGTGTTTGCTTAAGATGTGGCCGTAATAATTTGACCTTTTTTTGTGTCCTTTGTGAAATTTGTTGCATCCCTGTGGATCACCGTGATGAACTCATTTTTCATCACCGCTAACGATTCGATAACAGCGCGATGCTCGAAGTTTTTCAACATTGTCGTGTCAGTTGACGTAGTTGCCTTTTCGCATATCTTGAATACTAATGATGAAATTTTATATTTATACCCTTAAAGAGAGTCTTTAAATAATTACATAATTTAATTACCCTCATCATTAGTATATCACCGCGACACCATGAATACATTGAAAGCCCCCCGTAATATTACTTCGTAATAGCCGATGAATCTGTTTGATTTAACAAGTTCAAACGCTTTTGTATTCGGTGACAGGGTGGTGCAGTTGTTAAGTTACTGGCTACAGCTCCGGGGGTCGTAGGTTCGATTTGCACGTTGGGCAAGTAGTGAACCACAGATAATTTTTCCGGATCTGGGTCTTTATTTACAAGTTGGTTTGACTTCAGGCAGACGGCTGGTCATAAAAACCTTGCCAAAACCATTAGCAACATGAATGTCGTGTTATGTTTACCCCATTGAGGTAGGGTAGGGTTAGTTAAAAGATACCTTTTTGTATTAACCATACTTTAATACTTATTTCAGGTGGAAAGTACGCGGACCAGCAGGCGATCTTCAACAAACTTAGACTCGAAGACGTCAACGAGTACAGTGAAAATCGACGATGTGCAGCCTACTTTCCGGCCACGGAGTCCTAGAAGGCGAGAAGAACCAACATCATCTACACCTAGAGACAATGTTCGATCAAGAGCACGAAGTAGGATAACAGATACATATTCTTCCAACATCGTCACTGAACAACCTTTAACCGAAAATGGACGTAATGAGCGTTTTGACTCTAGAAAGACAAATAGGGTGCGTAGCCGACCAATTGAAAGTGAGTCAAATGCTATCAATGCTTACCCAAGTAGGGAGATACCCGTGAAAAACAAAGCAAGACAAGTTAATAGAAGATTTCAGTATGCTACGGAAACTTCTTCACCATCGTCCACTGTTAATGATGATGGCAAGACTAGAGATATGAATATTAGAAGAACCCAGACTACTTCTACAGAGGTTCCTTTAAGACTATCCTCACCGAATTTTGATGATATTAAAACTGAAACTGTAGCATCCACTTTTAATGATATCACTAGAACAGTCCCAAAGGAAGAAGACATCACAACAGTTCAGTTCAAAAGAAGGAGTTCAACCACTCCAACAATAGAAACTGAAACTGTGGGTACTCCTAGGCCAACAAGATCACGAGGACGTGTTAATACAAGAGCAAATGTGAAGCTAGAGGACATGGCTAGTTCTGGAGCAACTTTAACGTTATCTGAAACAAATGCTCCCATTGAAAAGCTATCCGAAGATCCAAGAAAATCGCGAAAATTAAGGTATCGGACGCGCTTCGCAGAAACCGACACAAACTTAACCGGTGAAGGTATTACAAACTCAAATGAAATATCGAAATCTGCTCGAAAAAAACAGTCATTCAGCAGTGAAGCAGAAAACCGTACCTCAGCTAATGTTATAAATGAGAAAAAAATGGAGAGGCGAAGTGAACGCAAACCATTAGTATCACCAACTATAAAGTCTATGCGTGTTGTTAGGCGTCCATTATCACGACAAAAGGATAACTCGGCGTCTTTATCAACGTTGTCAAAAGTGAAAACTTCGGACGAGATTGGTGACGATGATAACTACCCAGAAACTTTTAAAGCTTTGATTCAAACTAAAAATGCTTTGGTGAGTAGCTATTATTAAGGAAATGTAATTTTTGTTTATGAGTATTCAGTGGAAATATAATGGACTTGAATATTAAGTTTGTTTATTATCCTCAACATCCCCCACGAAAATTAGAACCTTATTATTCATTAGATTCTTTTACACATGTTTAATAACTTATTTGAGGAAACTTCTTTACATTTTCAGACACAAGTGAGCTCTCCAACCAGCGAGAGTTTATCAGTGAAAGCAACACATACAGTTATTAATACTATAACACAATCTTCACTGTATTTCAACACGAGTCGTGAACCAAATAATAATATTACACGGGTAATTCATTCATATATAGGTTTAAAATCGTTTCTCCCATCCTAAATTACTTTATATAAATCGAAGGGCACCACAGTATTTGTTAGTGACATTTTATTTTTATATAATTATATTTGATATGTTATTAAGGTCGTAATTTTAAATGATAGCCAATAGTAAAAATTAGAGCAGGTGTTAATTCATACGAAATATTTCAGCTTCGCAGTAAATTAAACGTGACAGAAAATGAATTAAAGGGTGTAATTGTAGAAGACAGTACAACAACGGAGTCTGCATCAGATACTCCTAAATATAAACCTCAACAATATCGGCTAAGAGGAACGTACTCCCCTAGACCTAGAAAGTTAAATACATTAAATTCGGCTGCTGTAACGTCTAGTTCAACCTTAAGCCCTATCAAAAGTTCTTATAAATTTACAAGAAAATTGAAAACGACAACAATAGAACCTTCAATATCAGAAAAGCCATTAAAAACTAAAAGATTTGAACCAGGTCAACCTTCACAGAGGTCTGTGGTTCGTACTTCATATAATCCTAGGAAAAGTTTCGGAAGAAACGTAACCACGGATGCAAGAACTATTAATGAAAATACAAAAAATGAAACCGATGTCCGTAATATAAACAATAGAGCAAAGTTGTCAAGAGCGTCTTATTATTCACGTTTAAGGTCTAACGGAGTATCTACCGACACTCCGCTCAGTGAGATAAATGAAACACCAACTGCTGATAAGAAAATAGAAAACACAGTCGAAATGCCTTTAATATTTACTTTAATTAATAAGCCAAATAAAAATATCACCGCTGACAATGGATATGAGTACAATCAAAATGACCATAAAGGAGAGTTTTTAATAGCTGTGAGCAGTAAAGAATCGCAGGAGAATAAAGTAGAAAATGAAATTATTGCAAAGGGAGAAGAAAGTGAAAATAAGCCTATCATTAATGTTTTTGCAACGACTCAAAAGTATCACTCAAATTATAAGGACCAAAATCTTATCGATGGAGAAAAAGGTTCTACACCGGCTACACCTGCAATAAGAAATATACAAACAAGAAAGTATAGTCGTAAAATCACTAAAACTAAAGATAAAGTTGAATCTACTTCCGTAAATCCTGTAACGAAAGCTAAAGAAAAAACGTTACGAAAATATAGTGATACCTTCTCAAAGACCACAGAGGCCTCAAATAATGGCGTAAGTGATATTTACTATATTTTTAAAAAACACACTTAACTGTTCATAACTGTTTTTAAAACACATTTACAGATAACAATCGATTCTGAAAAGCGTAAAAGCAGATTCAGTTCTAAATACAGAGAGTCATACCTTGATAAACCGTTTTACAAACCTACAGTACCCACAGTGACACCAACAACAGTAAGTGCACATATAGCTTGTTTTAAAAGATAAAAATCGTACTCTGAATTATATCTGAATTATATCATCTCATATTTTCACAAAATTCTGCTTTCACTCTGACAGTCTGTTTACAGAAATAAAGAAAGCACCAAATTGACAAAGCCCCTTTATGAAATTGGCAATATTCTTGTATCTTTCATTTTCATCACCAAAGCTTGTTTGACATCATATAATTTTTCATCAAATTTATGTATTATTTATTAACCGACGTCGTTTATAATGTTTATTGTAGTTCATTGATTTATGGTATAAAGTTGTTATATAAAAACTTCTGATATAACTTCGTTAAAATTTTGGTGTCTGATTTTGTTATGCACCTCGAAATCCGTACATCGACTCCACTCAAACCGAAATATATTGAAAAAAAAGTAATCATTTTTTTTAAAACTTTTATTGGTGTCTAAGTGATAGAAAATAATGTATTCAAGCGTACCATGCTTTAATTATATAGATGTACAGAAAACTCTTGACGATTTATAAATCATCATATTATAAGCGATAGAATTTTTGACTAGTATCTTCTTCTTGGTTTACTAATTCGCTACTAAGTTCATACATTTTGTTCAAATAATAAGGTAAAAGTAAAAACCCTAACAGCAGTTGGTTTATTAGGATACAGCTTCATACAATTATTTTTTATTGGAATATGATTTTAGCATGGTAAAAAAACAAAGAATGTATAATTGTATATATTCTATTCATTACATATTTCAAGTTATTTTACCGTAAATATTAATTAGAAGTTTCCTATTACTAAAGGCGTGGCTGAAATTCTTCGTGACTGACCACCAGACAAAGTTGATTCACGAGCCAAAGTGGTTCGAAGCAAATTATTATAACGATGTCACAACAGAGTTCACGTCAAGACGCAACATAACTACGCCAGCATTTATTCACGATTCATCATCAGAACTGGTTAATGGATTCATTTAGATTGCATCAACGATTAACTAACACTGACTCATCATTTTAATTCATCTTGTTAATAATTCTTATTTTTTATTATTATTTTGGGAAAATTTTCAGTTTTAAAGAGATTGCAGTAAAATTTTTTGTATTAAATTATATAAATATTATTTCCTTAAAAAGAAAATAAATAAAAAATATTCCATGTCAATGTATTAAAAAGTATATAATTTTTGCTGCATCTTTATAAAACAAACCTTGTTCGAAATAATTTATATTTATCAAATAATATTAACGGATAATTTATCTTATTTTATTATAATAATAGTGCAATAATTAAGATGCATGAAAATTTCAATTAAGTAAGTAAATACAATACATTTTTTTAATACAACATTTTTAATAAAATTTTTAAGTTACTACTTGTTTTAATACTAAAATAATATACTTTGTTAGATCATTAATGTTTCTGTCGATAACTCGCATAAATAATCAAAATCATCTCCAAAAGTAATAAAGAGGCTTTTGTCTGTGCACTATTTTCACTTTTATACATTGTAGCGTTTTCGTTACACTACTTTATCACGTTTTATACCAATTTGACATTTTTCTATCTTTATGGGTGAGATGACTTCTTATTTCAGGTAGAGGGTGAAGAAATTCAATTAGGTCCAGACATGAACGCTATTTCTTTCACTCAATCACGAAGTACATTATCTTCAGCAGACTTAAAACTCTCTGAGAGTTTAGTAAAACCATCGCATGTTATGAACGTAGAAGCCTCAAATCACTCACCATCAGTTACTGTATCTATTTTTGATGCTTTGGCTGAAATTCTTACGTCCACACCCAGAATTCAGTTATCTTCAACAACAGAAGTACCGCAACAATTTATTACTGATAGTGTTGTTAACAAACAAACACTTAATGGCGTGAGTAGCAACAATAATGTAAATAGTGCCAGTGACGTATCAAGTCAGGGCACATCTACGTCAACAGATAGTATAGAAACAATTACTTCTGTACAAATCACTGATCAGACTACTCAAACTGTGCTTAACCGCTTGTCGGTAGGGGAAACTTCACCGTCACTAAAAACTGAAGATATAAATATAATGTCTACAAACACTCCTCAATCTATTCCAAATCCTACTCCAACTACTCCTATTTCTGCAAGAAAACCTTTTGCCATTAAAGTATTATATTCAGATACCGAAAGCCCGACAGACAAATTTATGACCTCATCAACCGCTCAACTTACGACGAAATGGGGTACGACAGACAATCCAAAAATGGTATATAACACAGTATCAGATCTTTTATTATCTAATAACAAATTAATTTCGGCAGAACTAACTAGCATGTTGTCCAATAATATAAAAGAAATTATGGAAAATTTGGATGCAGACAGTAGATCTAGATTGACTGTAGATATGGCAAAACTGTTAAAGACACTAATTCCTAGAGCTACGAATAAATTTCCTGTCCTAACAGACGTTGATATCACTACTCCTTACAGTTTGGAGGACATTAAAGACACTGAAAATATTGACATTGATAATATCGAAACATCCGTTAATGAAAATAAAGATATCCTCCAAAATGTACCGGAAATTAATGTAAATATTTCACAGGACACTGTTGATTCTGTAATTAATACAACAGATGATACAGTGCAAGATGTAAATACCACTGAACTCAACTCACCTTTTCTTACCAGCACTTCGCCTAAATTAGAAAGCATGACAACAGTAGCTGATATCACAACAACAACTGATTTTATTGGTACTAGTTTACCACAGTCAGATTTTTCTTCAACGGTCTTAACTACAACTCCAATGACAACGTTAAGTGAAAATGTTGAGGTTAGTGATACAGCTACTTTGTCTAACTTTGGAGTAGATTTATCTGGTGTAGACAATTCAGATACAACACGAACACTCATAGCGGATTTCACTAACAAACCTACTCCTATTCCCTTTTTTACGAATTCAAACATTGAAGAATTTACTGTAAGTGTGATCAACAATTCCTCATCTTTAATAAGCCAATCATTGAATCCAGAACAAAATAACGATAACATCGATATTGAAGACCCTAGTCAGATATCACGGCTTCAATTATGGATCCTTTCAAAAAAAGCTCGTGTTTTGAAAATGATCGAACAACTTATCAGAGAACATAATAACGAAATAGCGAATCCTCCCATAACTGAACTAATAAGTCAACCAAATAACGTTCCACTTTCTAGTCGTTTGACAGATATCATTAATACGATGAATTCTACAACTATATCTACTGAAGAAAATACTACTTTTACTACAATTGACATTACTCCTGATCCCGTAACTGACTCAGCATTATCTAGCACACAAGCTGAAGTCTCTGACGCAGTCACAACAGAGACGTTAGGAATTAGTTATAGAGCTGACTTTACGGTCCCATCTACGACTCTTATAAATGACTTTTATCCTACAACCATTCCTTTTTCTGAACAAGTTTCAACTACTAGAACCGACTTAAATGATATAATTTCATATGAAACTACAACTGAAGTTGCTGATGCCGATGACGAAGCAAATAGCACCTCTACCAAATCTATAGAACAAACTATTTCTACATCAACAGCGGCCGAAGATATGCCTGAAAATATTTTTATAAGCACAGAAAGTACAACTGAAACTACTTACATGAACTCCGAAACTCTAACCTCGCTTAAAGACATTAAATCTACCTCAAAGCCAAGTTATACAATTGAAGATAACTTAGAAACAACAACTCAATCAGGTATCGAAACCACAACTGTTTCACTTGTAAATGAAATTAATGCAAACGATGAAATAACCATTACCAATCAAATCAAAGTTGCCACTCAGCCAACCATCCCGAAAAAAGATTATGTCATTTTTGGAATACTGCCTAATAATACTGTGGTACGTAAAGATCCTAACGATAATGTACTGGAAACATTAACAGAGGCAAGTCCGTACATTGTTTATGGTGTGCTACCTAATAACACAGTAATACGTAAATTCCCAAATGGAACTAGAGTACCACGAATCATGCAAAAAATTGACATACTACCAATCAGTCCATGGAGCCTAAGAAATCCATACAGCCCCATCCATAATAATCCGGCCATTGTCAGACCGCAGTCTAACCCCACCCGAGTATCCACTAATATTGTGACATCTACAGACACAAATAACGGATCGGAAAACCGATTAACTACCGACACTGTAAATAACCAACAAACAATGGTATCGTCTTTAATTTGTTTAGCTTGAAAGCTGTGCTTGGGGCTTGTCCTCTTATGCGGGAAGTGTTTCAATAGTTAAGCTTTTATTGTGAAGGTAAAACTATGGGTAAGCTCTGCATGTTTTCCGCACCCTCAAAGCTTTAGTTCCAATTAACATTGCAAGGCATAACCTTTTTTTCATAATTGCAGATATCTTCATCGGCACCTAATGTAAAAGATAGCAGTTTCTTGGTTATAACTACTGCCACAACTAAGCCGTTTGCTGAAAAAAGCACTGCCTCGCATGTTTTGAGTTTACGCACTACTACAATGCTACCCTCTATTCATGAGATTCTGCTTAATAGTTTATCTTCGGCCACTAAAGAGGAAATGGTTATATCATCCATGACAAGCTCTACTCGTGAACCAAGAATATTAACACTGGATATCGATCCGGAGGTATAATACATAAATAAGTCATGTAGTCTCTCACAAACTATTTCAATCCTTGCTTGTTTTACTTATTTTAAGGACTAATTCTTTTATGGGTAGTTAGGTTTATTATTTATGTCATTATTGAATAAAAACATAAGAAAAAAAAACTTAATGCACGTACAATTTTAAAGTTTACAAATTATTATTTTATATAATTATTTTATTCAATTTATCTACTTCAGGTAAGTGGTGATGGTTACAGTTAACGTGTAGATAGTACCGAGTAATATTTAAAAATCCCGTCAATAACACGTTTTAATAAATTACAGACAAAACAAATCCGAACGGAAAAACCTGGTGATGAAAAAGGAAATACAGTTTTTAAATTTATACCAATTGACGAAGTTACGGTGCCTCCACAAAACACTAATGTATTAAAATTAGCATCTACAAAAGCGTCTCCAAAAACTAACACTGAAAAAGAAATGCAAACAGTTACACCGATGACAGTTACCGAGAACAATTCACCCATATTACAAATTGAAACACGCGTGAAAAATATTGATGAACCAACAACGACCATAAAAGCAATTGCAGGAACGCCTAGTGAAATAATATCTATAGTTATGAATGGTCAACCTTCAATGCCTCTCATGATAATTGATTCTATACCAAATACAACAGAACGTAAAAGTCCCACAACTATTTCTACCACCGAAACTAATACGGAAAAATCAATCAAAACAACAAATACTCCAGAAGGGACAACAACGCAATCTTCGAGTTCATCTATTTTCACAACCACTGATTTTGCAAAAGCAACTGCCACAGTTATTACAACAACCCCTTCTTCGTTTGAAACTCCTATAACTTCTATACCAGTGATTACGCAAAATATTGTTAATAAAGACATGGCGACTATTTTACCAATTCAGGCGACAACAGACGTGGTCAGTACAACTGATCACACTTCAAATACGAATCAAGTTGATTCTAACTTACTTAAAAATTTACTGGCAGTCTTATCCACAACGTTGAAACCGACAACATCACTAGAGGATAATCAACTTAAATTACTCCAGGCGTTATTATTAGCTACTGGCCAAAATCCGTCTAATACACCTAAAACTAACAGCGTGACGCAAGCAACAACTTTACGTTCCATAGAAGATGACATTCGACAGTTTGAAGAAGATACCAAACTACTAAAAGCGCTTTTACAAGCTACAGGGCGCAATCCAAATGAACTCAATATTCCAATTTTAAATGACGCTAAGCCGGTTGCCACCGAGTCAAGTCCTACAACACCGACTACCATTACCACAAGTGAAGCTACTACAACACAGTTTACTACAGTTCAAACAACAACAACGAAATCGTCACAAAATATTGACGAAGAGATAAAAAAGAATAAGGAAGACGCTCTTCTATTGCAAGCATTATTAAAAGCTACTGGTCAGAATCCTGATGATGTGAAACTACCAGTTATATCAGGAATAACTTCTAACATAAGAATCGCTTCAAATCCTTTAACAACGACAATTGAGTCTAGTCCAACGACACAAATCAATATTCGACCTATTTACACAACACTACAGCCTAGTGAAAAACTTAATACGCAAACTGAAATACCTCTTGTCTCTACTATACCTACTTTACAGGAGCAACGAAGTACAGTAACAGAAGACGTAGGGATTTCCACAACATACAGGCCTATAGAAATAAGAGTCCCTGCTAGCACAAGCGCACCGGAATTGTTTTCAACTTTAAGCGGTGGAGGCTTTTCAAGTTCATTACGAATTACAACTGAAATACCAAGTACTTCTACTTTTTCTGTTGAAGAAGATTTGGCTTTTTTAAAGAACTTGGTAAATAAAGATCTATATGTCAATAGATTATAGTATTTAATAGTATTTCATCTTTATTTTTTTACTTTTGCACTAATTTAAAATAAATTATTGCTTTTTCAGAAAAATGTACTAAATACAAATAATAATGATGATGACCCTGAAGCTGCACTTGCAAATCGTGTTATAGCTCTTGCCGTTGAGAGAAGTTTAAGCGAAATACAAACTGAAAAACAAACGGAGGCTTTACGATCTGGAAAAATTATTAACACAGATTCAAGCAATCCTGTACGCACCACTACCTTAAAATCAACAACGACGACAAGATTGACAACTACAACTTTGAACCCACCTGAAATTCAATCAAGCACGCCATCTTTAGAAGAAGACATAAAGCAATTCGAAGAAGACACAAAGCTTTTGCAAGCTTTATTGCAAGCTACAGGACAAGATCCCTCTAAATTCAATATTCCTAAATTGCCAAATGTAAACGTAAGTCCCAATATTTCCCCAGTTATTAATGAAGATTTGAAGATACTTTCTAATCTTCTTGCTTCACCGTCGCCTTTAAATGAACCCTTTGATCCTTTGACACAGACGCCAGGAAATAAAATGAATCAAGGAGACAGAGTAATTCCTAATCCGACCACCGTAAAACCACTTAGTGTCAAAATAGCTGTAAAGGATAATTTACAGAATGTAAATGACGATGCGAAATTATTGCAAACTTTGATAAAACTAAAAGATGCACAAGAAACTACTACACAAAAAAATAAGATTGCCATAACAGGTAATTCGTTACAAATATTTAATACGCTTAGAAGATTTTCTTTGAGAAAATAACTTTGTTATGATGTGATTTATATAAATATATTATGTTAATTGTTGAAATAATCCCTCATTTAAATTCAGGACAATCGTCAGACGAAGCACTCAAAAAGTTAATACAGCAAGCCAAACCAGCAGCAATGGTGTCAGAAGCCACAAAACCGTCCATTTCATTAAGTACGGAATATGGAAACAGCAATGATGCTTTACTTGCAGCTTTGCTAAAGGAACAAGGATTCGGTCCTACAACGGCAAGTTCTTTGGATGAGCAAATACGACTCGCTGTTAGTTGTGACCTTTTTCTTTTTTAATATTTATTCATTTTCTAATAATTACAATTTTAAATATGCTGTATGCGTAACTTAGGATATTAAATCTTGCGTAACAAAGCATTTTTTTTGATAATCATTAATGACAACGTTAAATTCACTTCTCGTTCACATCACACATCATTTTGTCTTTTTTCATACTTCGCTTTATAATCTGCTGTTGTATAACACTTCTAACTCATACTTTTACTTGTTTCATTCATTCTATTGATTTCGTGCGACATATAGGAATTTTAGACCTAACTATAACCTCGTAGGCATTACTGAATCAAGTGGTAGTGACGCCGAAGGCTAGACGGACGACGACACTTCCTCCGCCGCCACCGGCACCACGGAGACCGATTCTGGACGGCTTGGCTTGGCTTTGGCAGCAATGGAGAGATACAGCACCGGGCAGCGGCGATGGAGGTTCCAGGACGAATAATAGACGGCCAGCTCCGTCATCCAGGCCTTCTGTGCCTCCTTCAGCAACTCCACCTCCTAGAGCCAACTGGTTCGGCTCCGGACCGTTCGTTGGCAACGCCGATGACAGACCGTCCTCGAATCGAGTGGGTTTCTCCTCACTATTACTTAAGCTATGTGAGTGGGGATGAGGTGATGGCTGTAGACTTTAGACTAAATAGAATTGATCCTTGAAGAAAAATTATGAAAATAATTTCATTTCAAATAAAGGTTCAGTTCTTTTCCTATTTATTTTGACTTTATGTTGACTTCAATTAAATTATTTTTGTATAGATCAAAATCGAGACAAAACAAAACGTGGCTAAGTAAATAAGGTTGCCTAAATTTCCTAATTTTTTGAAACGATGTAACTTAAGAAATTAAAATTGATTTTTTTCTTAGAATAAATAAAAGTTCTTTGAGTGAAATTGTTTATTGAATACAACTTAGCATAATGATAATTTCACTTTATAAGAAAAAGATAATAAACATTGATTTAAGATTCAATTTATGATCAATTGTAGATAACTGTGTATTGTAAAACATTAAATGCGTTTTTGTGTATGCATGTACACGCAAAAGGTGTGGTCTGTTTCTACACAGATGTTGGTAAAATTATTCCTAATTAACCTTGTAAATATAATATGATGTATATATGTATAAAGAAAAGTTAACTCACCACAATTTTTGTAGTTTAACTCTACAAGATTTAAATCAACACCATTCCCATCTATGACTCCATTCTAATAAATTTGTAGAATAGTCCCGTAGTAATCCCGTTCATTATCTATTGAATATTCCTAGACTTTTTGGCAGTCACTTTTTTTTTTTTAATTTGCTGATGTAGTTCGCACGCACTTTTAATACCGTGAAACATGTATAAAATATTTAAAATATTTTTAAATATTACATTACAATTTAATGTGTAGATGAAATCATGTATGTAATATAGTATACAGATGCACTTTTGCGTTTAAGTGTTTAATAAATTTCTTCTCGGGACACTATTTCTTGTACTCTTAACTTATCCTATATGAAAATCAGTCAAACAAATACTTTTAGAAATGACTGTTTTAATAGTAGTGCCTATCGTATTTTATACTGATTTATTAAACCTTATTATTTGCACCTTCACCATATTGTAACAATATTTATCTTACAGTTTTCTCCTAACAAATGTAGTTAAGTTGGTCCGCTCCACCCGGCAGTAGCGGAACTTTTTGTGCATTGAATATAACCTATGTAGTATTGTATGTGTAAATATTGTAAATAACCGTAGTTAACAGTGTGTTTTATTATGATAGTGAGTGGTACATACGAAATTGGTGAGTACTTTGATATTTTTTGTAAATACTTTCGATTAATTAACTAATAACTAAGTCCCTTTTTGTCCCCAATGGATGCGTACTATGAGAATTGTCAGAATATTTTATGTATAGTAAAATTCTGTATAAAATTTTAACGAAACCCAATAAATATGTAAACGAAATAGTATTTGGTGATATTTATGTTTTAATTTTAAATTAGCATAACAAGGTAAAATTTTTGAAAAAATTATATAAAAATTGTGAATAAAATAAGATGAATCATAGATATTTTATTTTTATAAAATAAATAATATAAATTCTTAAATTTGTTATATATCTCATAATTTGCCTAGACTTAATTGTAATAATTTTATATAGCAAATAGGTTAATGAAAGAATTACATTTAATGTAATGTAATGTTGAGAAAATGCGATTTTTTTTAAATATGTCAAGGTTATATTAAGGTCTATGAGTCGTTTAACGTGTTTCACGAGAAAATCCATACCCTCTTTGTCTATCATCCTTACTAACAAAATAATTTTCACACATTTAACAGTCACCCTTATATATATAAACAATGAAAATCACTCTTCAAAGCTTCATCAATCAAACTTAACTGATGCACTCCTATTCTTCACTAACTTTCTAACTCATCGCACCCCCGTGTTCCGTCTTAAAATGTCGCTGCTTGAAATTAATCGCGTGTTTAGCTATACGAAGATTTCTCGATGAGATGGCTTATTGATTTCACTAATAAATACCCTCCAACCAAACGAACTCGCTAGATACCTCTGGAGCCTCCGCGCGCCGTGGCGGCTGAGCAGACGCCGGGAAGGGGGCAACTTGTGTCTGCCGCAATAAACGTTACGCGGGCTTTCTCCCAGTTCCTCGGGGCCGCGATACAGGTACATTGCATAATGCACAAATACCTTCATCGAAAACAAACTCGTTTGCGGCGAACTCCGTTCGGCTGCTTGTAACTGCAATATTCGAGCCTCACCGCCGCCCGCCTGAGTTTGTAGTACTGAGTTTGAAGCAAGTAAGCTCGTTTGCAAACATGTAAGTAGGTTTTTGACCGACTTCGAAAAAGGAGGAGGAGAACCTCGTCCTTTTTCGAAGTACATACGCGAAATTAAAATTTATACAATCGAACAGAGAACTGTATTTTCGCGTATGCTCAACGATTCCTTCCCGATTTGTGGACCTATTCCGTCTTAAAATATCATTTGAGTTTGAAAATGTTTCACATAAACAATAAAATACATAACAGAAATATGCCTTATTCTTCATATAGCTTTCAAAACTAAAAATAAGTTAAATACTTATAATTCAAATTTTATTTATAATTTTTTTAAAGCTGTTGTTGATAAAGACAGTGAAGTAGTTTTTTCTTGCAAAAGTCAAGAAACGAAGTTAAAGGGTCTAGTTCTCATGAATTTTGCGCTTTCGATTTGATTGGTGCATTACTACTATTCAACACTTTTCTCTAGAGTTTGGCAACGCTCTTAATTTGTTCAAATAAGCGTGTACAGAAATAGCTGAAACGTGCACAGAAATAGCTGTCATTGGCAGAGTTGAAAACGTTGAAGATTCTTTTTTTTATTTGAATATTTCTCAATTGAACAGGCGGTTCACATGATGTTAAGTGATTACCGCCGCCCATGTGCACCCACAACAACTGGCAAATACGTTGCCAACATTATGCAAATTGGTCCACGGTTACTACACTCACCAGACGAAACGCGAAAGTTTAATACATATTTCCACTTCACGCGGTTTCTGAGGCCGTGGTTATTCCCCGGACAAGCCTGCCTATCATGCAACAGCCGTTGCCATTTTGCAGAAAAGAAAGAAGTAGAGAAGTGAAGAGGAAAGGTGCCATGATAAAGCTTTTAATTGGAACTTATCCACTTCCAGGGAGCGGCTCAGACGGTGCAAAACGTGATAAGAGCCGGCCAGAAAGCCGCCACGGATGTGTACACCAATGGCTCCGGATAAAACTGTCGTTTTGCCATAGACTCGAAACTTTTCCGAAAGTTGTCATAGTACGCACTATGTGTTGGAAGTGTTCATATGTAAAAAGCTATAGAATCATTGGGCCTTGTATATTATTTTAAGAGAACATGAATTAGGAATTGAACGAACATTTTACGTTTGTTTCAGCTGTCGAATTATAAAATCATTACAGTTACAATGTTACCCGTGAAATGATAAATGTTAAATATAATAGCGTGTATATAAATAGCAAAAAAAAAATTACAGGATTGTCTAGAATGATAGGAACTGACAAAGAATGTGATGATAGATTTACTTAAAATAAAGTATTTAATTTGTTATGTAAATAATATTTCCTGACTTCTCCGGTGTGTGTTATAAAGGGTAATGTAGGGATTTAAAGATTAAGCTTCTTCAGTCTTCACTAGATGTTGCGGTAAAATGGTGTACAGTTTAGATATTGTAATTCTTTAATGACGTTTATCGTTAATTTCGAAAAAAGCCTTGCGAAATTTGAACGTGACCGGTGAAAGATGTGAATCGATTTCTGTACGGCCTTAGGGCTCTCGTATTCTCGAAATTTTATGATTGCTCACGAACCTTCGACTCTCGATTTATCTTTATTTCAATAATAATTTCGAACGAACGTCTTATTAAATAGTTATTCTTTCACTGAAATGGAATTGAAAAATAGCATTGATTGGAATACTGACAATATCTATTGCTTTTCCAAGCAATGAAACTTTTACCTAATTCGCAGCGTGTTAGTTTTAGGCCGTCATTAGTTTTAAGTCTTACCCATGTGCCATTCATGCACGTGCTTATATTTGAACCTTCATTTTCCATTTCTATTATTTATTATTTTGTATAATTTATTTTATGATCTACTATGGCTTCATTTATGATGAAAAACTACATTATGTTTTATGTTCATCGATATTTTTATTTGCTTTTTGAGAACTTGTGAATGTTTACTGTCAGTACACATTTGGCCGATAAACGTTATTTCAAGATATTTATCTATATAAAACATAAGCTTTTCACTGCCTGTAAAATAGGATAGTAAGGATCGGGTAGACTCAAAAATAAGTAGTTTTTAGTTATAAGCGAACGTTCCTTTCGGAAATTGAACCTCGAATCTCTGCATGATTAATAAAATAAGCTACCATTGTTCAATGCTTTACTCTTGTATCTAAATCTTCATTAACTTTAAGCGACATGTATATATTGTACTAATGAAATATAATAAATTATTTTACAATTCACATTTAACGTTTCATTTAAATCAATAACTGACTTTGTTGCTGAACATTGTTTGTGTATGTTACGTTTTATGTAAAAAAATCTTTAAGTAAAATAAGTATAAAACTACGTAATGAAAATTTTAAATATTTATAACAATACACAAGTTAAATTACAACAACTAAATGAAAAGATATTGATAAATTATAAGTATAATATGTTATAATTACTGTTAAAGTAGTCATCTGTCGATCTCTCCAGGTTCCACCGGGAACCAGCAATCGCGAAGGTTTTTCGCGATTGATGAGTCACCTCTTTAGTGCATTGATTTCTACATTTGAATTGTCATTTTCATATTTTATATTTTGTTTGTTATGTAACAAATAAATATTTCTCTGTTTCTATAAGCTTTTATAACGTAAGTAAAGTAATTTAAGAGTTAAGTAAGCGAATTTCTGTTTTGTATAAATGTATATTAAATATAAAAAAAATGTCCCAGTGCTGATATTTAAAGTAATGGGCGAGAAACGATGGAGAAAAAAGGTTTCCGAGTGGCAGCTTCTTAAAGGGAATCGCAGTGGATGTCGACCCCCCACTAGATGGAGTGACGAGTGTGCAAGTGTGCGGGAAATCGATAAATGCATGTAACTCAGGATTGTGCTTTGTGCCAGTCTGTGGGCAAGGCCTACGTTCAGTAGTGGACACTAACAGGCTGAAATGATGATGATGATGGACGAGAATCTAATTACCAAGGAGCACTGTTAAACTAAGAACTATCTATGTCTTTTCTGAAAAAACGCGATTGTACGCAAAAGACTACTAATCGATAGAGTGTATCACGGGGCGCCATCTCGTAAAATTTTGTTGTACTTAGATTATTACTATTGGGTGTTAGGCTTCTAGTACCACAAAACTTTGTGAGATGGCACTGTGCTACATTATAAGAATGAATAAGATAAACGAGTCACACAGCCAAAAAAAAACACGAATATATTTTTAAGCTCGGTCGCGCAGATACTAATAATAATGTTAAAAAAATCTTTAATGCTAATTATTCTTTAAGGTTAATAATATTCCCACAAATCGCTAATACTGTACCTTTTTTATGTGAGAAAGTGGCAAACGAGCTGGCGGTTCACCTGATGTTAACCACCTGCCCATGAACATGCAACACGCAACACCCGTAGGATTGCAGATGTGTTGCCACCTCCTAATAAAGTGGGCCTCGGCTACCTCACTCACCAGGCAAAACGCAGAAGTGCTACACTTTTACATCGCGCCCGACTTCTGCGATTTCGTGGTACTAACCCGGACCTGCCCATTCGTGCAACAGCGAACACTGTTGCGTGACTCTACCACACATCAAAAGCAACGATCACATGGTATTAATGTAGGTAAAAAGCCATAAAAACCCCTTAAAACTTAAAACCCTGAAAATTTTAAGGTGCTTCTGGAATTTGAACCCTAGATCGTTGACTGCTAAAAAATTACCACCGTCAAATAATAACCTAGAAATCTAAACAGCCAGTAGCATGCGCGCGCACTCCATACAAGCAAAAAAGCTTTGCAAACCCTATCATCCCATACAAACATGCCCCAAAATAAAGAAACGAATGATATTAAAGTTTTATCTGATTGATAAGATGTCATTTACAAATGTTAGTTGTAAATGATAACGATAACTTTACTTTAATTTTTGGCTTTTCGTCTTTATTGAGTTCCTAGTGTAATTCATTGGTAAGTTTTCATTGAAATCTCAATCTCATCATCAATGAACTGTGCACGTTACTTGCGACTGTATGTGTAATAAAATCAATTATCATTATTTTCAATAAATAATAGACATTGAAATAAATATGTAAATAAGACATTTGGAAGGAAAGCACTTCTGTTGCTGAATATACCATAAACGGCAGGCTTTGATGCAATCAAAATAAATAAATTCTGGACCTAGATCTTAAGTTGTTAAAATGTTAAATTTAACATACCTACAATAGTTATAATCCTTTATGGAAATGTTTTGACCATTGTTTTATGAAGCCGCTACTTGTACGTGACGTGGATTATAAATTCATTAACCACATCTAAAGAAATAAAAGTTTTTGATGTATAAAAGAGTTTTTATAAAATGAATGATATATTTATATTCTAAAACCTTTAATGGTGGTTAAAATTATTGATCTTCGATAAGATTCACGTATGGAATATGTATTTTTATTCTACAGATGATAATTACAATTGCTCCTGTTTTGAGTGTTTGTATGTCTGTTTGATATTTTTGTGTAAAAGTTAGCAAATATAAAGCTTTGACAACTAAATGTAATGTTATCGTTACTGCTTTTCAGTATAAATAGTAAAAATCATATTCATACTCGTTTCGATAAACCTTTTCAAAAGCGTAAAATGTACGCGTGTCGCGATGGTTGTGATCCAGTTTAGCGAGTTCGGATATATATTTGTATATATACCGGTTTGGTATTTGTTGCCTGATTTCAAAGCTTCACCTTACGGTGTCGAACGCCAAATTTATATTTTGTGCTTTGATTTTATCATGATTTTTTGTTGATCGACCTTGGCTTGTGCGACAAGAATTCGTAGAGAATGAAATAACACTTTTTTGTGAGCGTTTCATTCGTCTATTTGTATGTATCTCGACTTTTGCAGACGGTGTTGGAGTTACTAATTTGACCTTTATGCTTTGATAGCATTAAAACACCAATAATATTTTTTTTTTGTTCAACCTAACGGTTACTGATATTCAAAAAGCTTATGTAGTCTCAAACATGAGCGTAAACCTAGACACAAAAGCTGAATACTCATAATTGTAAGCCACTTTGGAACAGGCAACTTTAACATACCTTACTCTGGTAAGGCCTCACCATACCTTACTATGCTGCCTCTTCTGTTGTATGAATGGACAGGCTCATCTGGGGAGGGCCTGGACGTGACTGAAGACCGGTGTAAACTATTACACTTTATTCATTAACCCTTCTAAATTATATGCTAAGGTATCTTTGGAACTGACAATGCAGTGTCAAATTTAAAAAAGAGGGGACCTGATGACCCAATAGCTTAAGCTTAGTTGGGTGCTTTTAGTTACAGCAATCATTTGGAATACTGTGGGAAGAAATAAAGAATTATTATTATTACAAGTACACTTTTTCTGCTGAGTGAGTCATTTACATCTTTTAATGATTCCCATCTGCAACCATAAGGGTGTTGAGTATCCATGGAATGCGGTGATCACAGTTGAACCGTCCGATCGCTTATTACTCTACCACATAGGAAAAAATCATGTTCCATCAAACTTTTTAAGCTATGAGCCATCACGTGGTTTTATTATTATTATTTTTCTATAGATTTTTGGTGGATCTTATTGATTCATACAAAATTTTATTTATAAAAACCAAAACCAACCTTATATATATCACTTACAGTGAGTGAGATATTGTAGTTAGATTTGTTATTTGATTGAGGATTTTCTTGAGGTATCACCGGAGTTCAATACTAACGAGATTAGTTTGGGACCAATTGGGAGCCAAACCGAACCTAATGCAAAAATAATTTTTCAAGATCGATTCATAAATGACCTAATTCTGAGGAACAAACAAAAATACAACCGAATTTAAAATCACCAGCTTTTTTGAAGTCGGTAGAAATTCTTTTAAATGCAATAAAAAGTAATATACGTTAATTATGCATATTTAGGTAGCTGTCATAACATTCCTATTAGTTTCATGTATTGAAGGGCAAATAAT